CCGAGGTCCCGCCTCCTGCAGAGCAGCTCCTGTTGGTGCTCCTCACGTTCACACAGCATGTGCTTTTGATGTTTTATGAGTTCTACGATGATAAAGGTTGACAGCTCTCGGACCCAGTTTTTGGCTCGAATGAATGCAGATGTTCCTGATGTACAGGTCAACACATTACACGCAGCAGCACGAGGAGTTTCTTTCTCTCTGCCTCTTCTGATGGTGTGTCTGAGAATCACCTGTTTTACGTCAGGTGATCTGTTAGATCCAGCTTTATCGTCATTGCATAGTATTCAGTTAACATCTAACCAGAAGTGCCAACAAAGCAGTAAAGTGCAGTTTCTTTGGTATGAAATACGTTTATAAATATGAAAGATATAAAAGCTAAAGCTATGAATCGATGATCACCGATTCAATTTGATTAAAACTTATATGAGAGCCTTTGTACTGACCTTAATTCCTTTACACTTTCCTTTTCACTAAATCCTCCTCTTACCCTTTTCTGCAAAAAAGCCTAAAGCAGACCTAAACCTGCAGGTCCGCTGCAACTCTGACTACTTTTAAATCCAGGCTGAAGACTTTTCTTTTTGCCGCTGCTTTTAATTGAAACTGAGCCGTTGTGTTCATCAGTAAAGTGGAACTTCTGTGTGAACTATTCATATCTTAAACTGCACTGTAACTTTTTATTCATTTACTTTTTCTTTTAATGTTTCTTTTATTATCTTTTTTTTTTAAATGCCTTTGTCTGAATGTCTTTCATTTTTGTAAAGCACCTTGAATTGCCTTGTGTTGAAAGGTGCTATATAAATAAACTTGCCTTGCCTTCTGTACTTTATTAGATTTTATACTTGTTTCATGTCTTCTTAAAAAAATCATGACTTTAATATATTTTTGAGCAGCGTTGTGAATCACTTTGTTGATTTTCAAAAGTTCTCTTTAAATAAAAATAATATTTTATAGCTAAAAGCTCATCACTTTATATGCACTTCTCACAACTTTCATGCAAGGTAAGGAGGCGTGTGGCGCAGTGGGTTAGTGCGTAGGTGTTCAAACCCCACTGCAGTCAGCATGTCGTTGTGTCCCTGAGACACTTCACCCCAAATTGCTCCTGTGGGGATTGCCCACAGTATTGAGTACGTAAGTGGCTTTGGATAAAAGCATCTAACAAGTATCATGTAATGTAATGTGATCATCTGACGGTTTAAAAACCCAGGGGTAATAAAATCAGGCGAGACACAGAGTACCAATCTATTTAATTTTTTATTTAACAATGCATGCCAGACATGATCCTATTCACATTGAAGAATACAGATTTGCATTTGCATCCAAATACTCACTACTTTGATTTCATATTATAATCTCTCTCTATCTCTCTCGCGCTCATCTTTACAGGTCGCCTCTGTACACTCTGAGTGGAAGAACTGCATGCATTTGAAGGACATAAACTAAAGTGTGACCAGCAGGGGGATACGTCCCTTTCAGTTAGAGAAGCACATCAGCAATTATTGCAGAAGAAACGTGTGTAACAGGTCGATATAGGAGGGAAGCAGATCTGTTGATTATCATCGTATGCTCATGAGATAGGAAAATATTTTTAAAATGCTGTACACTGAGATTCTGTTGGGTTGTGTTGGCATGCTCCCCCCCCTCCATAAATGGTGTATATGTCCGGGTTCACACGCAGTTAATGTACACACATACACACACACACACACACACACACACACACACACACACACACACACACACACACACACACACACACACACACACACACACACACACACACACACCTCCTATCATTACCATCCAGTCACCACTAAACTATTAATAGAATCATACACACTAGTTTAGATGTGCCACGGACACGTGTGTCTTCTCATATTCCTTACTGTAAGGATAAACGATTTTTTAAATAACTTTAATAATTTCCTCTCACACTAGATCAAATAGGAGGGCCTAAACTGTCAGTCGGAAATCTGTTTTCATAGTTAGCCATGCATAACTGAGTTGAGCTGTCCGACCTCTGCTTTGTTCCCCCTGCCTGCCACAGCTGTGGAGACGAGAGCTCGGCAGATCCTTTCCATTTGGCAAAGTTTGGTTTGGTTCAGCGAGCGAGGGAGGAAAGCCCTCTCTCACAATTGCTTTTGTTTAGATAACCCTAACCCCCTGTGTGGATCAATGATGAAGACATTCATTATCTATTGCCATTTGTGTCTGAAGACATAACACACAAAAAAATATAGATGTCCCTACGATCCCTTTAATCTCGTAAAGCACAGTGATTATATTTCCTTCTACTGCAGACAAATCCATATCTATCTTTCTCTCCACTATGATAACCTTACTGCCTTGCATCACTGGGGTCATGTGTCCCTGAGCATTGACTTGGGTTCAACCGTGTCTCTCTACTGCAAACTATGTTTGTGGAGGAAATTGCAAATCTGATCCCATGGTGGGTCATGTCTCATCTGATAAGTATTTTTAAGATGATAATCCTCCCTGTCTGTCCACCCTAATGATACACACTGATGATGATTACACAAAGAAGTGTGTATTGATGTTGGAATTCATGGATAATTGCGCTCCACCAATAGGCGCGTTCACACCAAGTACTTTTCCCACAAAGGTTCCTGAGAACTACGATTTAGTTGCGTTCACACCAAAAAGTCCCAGGAACTAAATTAGTTCTAGAGAACCTTTTTTACCCCCTTTTCAGTCCCTGCTAGAGAGCAGGGACTTTCGTGGGAGAAAAAGGTTCCTGTGTCTGATTGGCTGGGCGGAATGCAAACCACGCCCCGTCAAACTCCCAAAAACTTTTGTGAAGCCGCCATTTTATTATCCTCGCATTGCATTATTAGCATTAGCCCAGCGCAGAAACGCAGAGAGACTAACTTATGACACAAAATAAAACATGGGAGCGGTGGAGATGAGGAGGTGTCGGCGTTCTGGCCGTTTACTCGGAAGGCTTCAGTAGAAACTGTTAGGAGACCCAGCAGCTTCTACTGAAGCCAGTCCCCAACTCCGGGGACTTCCGGCCGGGGATTTTGGGCGGCAGTATACACCGTGAAGTTGTTTGCAGCCTGCCAGTAAACCCAAAGCAGAAGAAGAAGAAGTGACGTCAGCGGCTTCATTTGCCTAATCCACCCCCAGGAACTAACTAAAGAGTTCTCAGGAACCTTTGTGGGAAAAGTACTTGGTGTGAACGCGCCTAATTTGACAAATAAAGGTCCATTAACTGGTAAGGGATTCAGCCTATGAACACATTTGACCTTTGTAGCTGGAGGGAGCTTCCGGATGTTTCCGATGTTCATGTGGGATCGAGTCGTGACATATTTAACAGATAACCTGTGTTTTAAACTGTGGGCAAGGGGTTTGGAAGATGATACGTTTTAACAGTCAGGGAAGCTCTATCAAAAGACGCCACTGGGATACAACGTGGGAAATGTAGGATGTTTTTGAAGCTTGATCCATAACGGGGAGTGTCTGGAGAAAGTCTTAGAGAATCAGTACTAAATTACTAGAGTTCCCTTTTAAGATTCAGAGTTGGGGTTATTATGCATATGAACAGTTTGGACCATCAAACTAATTGTGGAACACAGAAGTCATATTATACAAATTCATGCTATATCCTCCAACGTATGCCTCTGCTTTATGTGTAAATAGATGTTTATCTTCCGCTTTGAAACAATTATTCGCAATGAGATCTTCTTATATGCGTTTTGGTGGATTTAAATGACACAGTCTACCAATAACAACATCCCCCCACTCTGTACATCAGACGTGTTTAAAGGGAACACAAAGGTCTATGAGTTTATGCAAAAGACACAAATAATCACAGAGGCTCCATGATTAGGGAAAAACCAAAGAGATATTTCACAGATTTCTGGATCACTTCAGTCCCACATACTCCATCCATGCCCCAAAGGCACCCAACGTTTGGTATACTGGCAACTTTGTATTGCCTTTTAAACTTGACATTAGAAAATTGTCATAAGCTGCTTGATAAAACTTACAATAAAAACTACTTTAAATAAGATTGAAATGTACAGTATATCGGACAGTTCTATATTTAATAAATAATATAATACATCAGCATTTAGTGCATGTCGATGGTCATCTTTTTATTCAATTTAAAAGCTTAATTAGAAAATACTTATAATTTGACAAAAATATCACTGAGAAGATATAAATATTGATTTCGTAATTCAAACAGGTATTTACTGTAATCGTCGATAATGAGCAAGAAAATGTCAATAAATAGAATCAATCTCAAAATAAATGGATTAAACTGAATCGTGATATTGAGGAAATATAAAACAACATAAAAAATCTGTAAGAATTCCATTAATTTGATATATCTTTAAAAGCCATCGGAGAAGGGCGTCCTCCTCCTCCGAGAAATGTTACGCTAGAATAAAAAAACGTTTTAAAACACTGATCTGGCTTTCATCTTTTCATAATCACAACCCCACCATTCCCCCTCTTCGTCACTGATCATGCATGTCTTCCTATATCTCAGATAAAATGCATATCTTTTTTTAAATTAGCTCTTTTTGGGGGGTTTTTCGTGACCTGTATATGAACTATAATGGGCTAAGCCATCGGGTAATTGCCTACTATTAAAATCTCCTTTTGCATTGTCTGAATGCATTTAATAAAAAAAGGAGAAAAGCAAGAGAAAGACAGCAATGGAGTACACGAAGGACGGATACATTAGGTGTAAGTGGATGTGAAACCGGTGCAACATAATGTCTAAACCTGAAGTTGGAGGGCTGATCCATTACAGATTTTTGGTGTGATGTGCAAAGCATGTTTACCTAGCTAGCATTGCTTCTGAAATAGGCTCACAGCGCCCTCTTGTCCTCAACGTTTGCAATTGCACTTGTTAAAGCTCTCATGGATCAGGTCTGAACTATAAATATTAGATAAGACTTAACTGTCTGACTGAGTGTGTGTGTGTGTGTGTGTGTGTGTGTGTGTGTGTGTGTGTGTGTGTGTGTGTGTGTGTGTGTGTGTGTGTGTGTGTGTGTAACATGCATATGCACGTCTGCATGTGCGTGATTAAAATCTTCTAAATCCTTTCCTTTATTTTCCTGATGTGGATTCGTGCCTGGACATCAGTTGTACTTATTCTTATCAGGTGGCTACTTCAACCCAGTTTTTACTGCGCATACATCCTGCTGACACCTGACCAGGAGACAAATGTAACCTTTTCAATAAACTATAATCAGACAATTTGGTGGATAAATGGTGCTACGAAACGTAAGACAACTAAAGGAAAAAAAGATAAGTATTGATTGCTTGAAAGGTGTATTTGTGTATCTAGAGGTAAGTTGTTGCCAAGTTACTGCAGTTCATTTCCAGTGCAACCACGAGAGAAAATAGTTCCAGATGTTTCCAACACACTTCGCTGAATCCTTTAGTGCTGGGGTCGTATAGAGTGGAGTGAGGATTATATGAGGTTAATGTATTTAAAGCAAAAGTTCTGTGACAGTGATGACTATGCTGAGACAAAATAACCAAAGGAGGTGTTTGCAGCTAGCAGTGACAGTTTACTGTCTGTGACTTACGTGATTGATATGTGATGTAAAACAGTGACATGACTACTCGATGTAAGGTTGGTGGGTGGAAGACATACAGTACAAATACACCTTCCATTGCAAAAACACCCCATAGAGAGTTACTTAGCTACAAGAGGAGGTAAAAACTACTCTAGATTCATAGCTCTTGGTTTTTGACTGGTGTACAGTAGGACCCCTCCATCTCCCATCCTGTCCCCCTGACACCTGGTCCAGAGTAAAGTTGCCCTTCAGCACTGAATTTGAATAAACTTTTACCATCTTTTCTAATCTAAAACATAAGTGAAAAATCTGTAGATCAGCATCTGTGGGCAACTCCACCCTGCTCTCTGTTTGGCCCCCGGCCCTCTCAGTCCCCCCCCCCCGGTCCTGTCAGTGTGTGAGTGTGCAGACCAGGGTTCTTGTCACGTGTAGTTCTGTCTGTCGAAGCTGCGGAAAGCTGAGGGCGTGGCCAGCTTCCTCATGGAGAGGCTGTCAGTCTTGGCTGCTTCAGGTCGTGCTCCAGACTTGCTCCTGAGGAAGGGGTTTCTGGTTCCTGCCAGACCCCGGCCCCCGGGCCCAGGCCCCCTGTCTGCCCCCAGAACCGGTCCCATCTCCATCCTCTCACTCACCGACAGGCTCTTCCGGTGTGGAGGGGCCAGCGTGAGGGAAGGATGGGAGTCGTCTGAGGAGCAGCTGTTTGCTCGCTCAAGCCTCGAGTAGGGGGAGCAGAAAGGGGCCCCACTGGGCCCGTCAAGGCCCCCTAGACGAGGGGTATCAGGGGTCTGAATCAGGTCCTCAGGGTCCTCTGGATCTGACTCTGTGTGGCTAAGCTCTGCCTCTCTCTCTGGGTGAGTGGAAGCAATTTCTGACGGCTTATCAAAGGGGAAGGAGGTGGACCCTCCGGGGGAGTGAGAGCGTTCTACAGGAGTGTACGGAGCGGAGACACAGCGTGTGTCGATGCAGTCCGTGATGCTGGTGTACTCTGTCGCCTTCACCTGGACCCCGGCCCCCAGCCCGCTGTAGCAGCCTCGGGATGTGAACATGAGGCTGTGGGACTTGGCCAGAGGGGGCTCTTCCAGGAAGGATGTGCCCGCTGCGGAGAGGTAGCGGCTGCTCTTAGAGCGCTCCAGCAGCCCTGCTGAGGGGGGGGGGGATGGATCTATGTCCCAGGGAGATGACTGGTCTGGTAAGAGGTGGGCTGAGCACAAGGACAAGTCAGCAGCTGCACTGTCGTCAAACATGGCTCCGGTTGTTCCGCTGCTGCCTACTCCACCCTCCGAGTGCCTGTCGCCCATCCCGCTGGGGGAGGCGCTGCCAAAGTCCCGGCCCCCCGGCAGCACCGTCTCCATGACATCCGACTGCAGGGAGCAGTCTCTCTGGAGCGTCGGGATCCTTCGGAGAGGATCCAGAAAGACCTCCGCAGGCCCCACCTCCTCAGAGGTTGAGACGTAGATATCGATGCATGATGATGGACGGTGCTGCTGGGAGACCGACAGCGTGGCCAGGGGGAGGGGCTTAGACTCCTTGGCGGCAGTACCTGAGGACACTGACTGTGAGCTGTTGGCTCGATGCAGGCTGAGCGAGCGCTCTTTGAAGAAGCTCTCAGCGCGCTCCGCTCTGCTTCCTCGCTCACCGCCACGGCCCACATAAAACGAGTGGCTCCGTGTCCGTGCAGCCATGGCGGTGGGAGAGGGGGGGGACATGGAGCCCTCCGCTGTCCCCTCCAGGGCCTCCTGCAGGCGGTAGGTGTTCCCTTCTGTGCTGTTAAAGCTGCTTTGACGCAGGATGTATGAATCCGGGCACTCACCCTGACGGAGGATGTAAGCAGAGTCCGTGCAGTCAGAGGAGGTCCGGGATCGTACTTTGGTGACCACCTCCCCACGCTCCACACCCGTCACTCGCTCCAGGGCTACGGCAATTCTTCCAATCAGCTCCTCCATTTGGGCCAGACGGATGTCAACGGTCTGCAGAGAGGCCTTCATGAAGTGTTCCCTTTCATTGACTTCCTCCAGACGCATAGCCATATTCTCCACCCTGGTGGAGCAGAGAAGAAAGGAATTAGAAAAACATTCAAAGCACTGGATAGGGGAGAATAGCTGTGAAGAATTTGGGAGAGAAAAGGAGTCTCTTTAAACACTGCAGATGTGTTTGTGTCTATTTTAAATCTGCAGTTCTTTGTGCATATTGCAGTATTTATTGTCTCTTCCCCAGGCGCTGTACAATAGCTGCCACCTGGTACTAGGATGGGTAAAAAGCAGAGAACACATGTCACTGTGTGTTAGGGCTTAATCGTATTTTAATCGCGATTACGATTATGGCTTGCAACGATTACGAAAACAACGTAATCGAAATAAAACAATTATCTTTTTATTATTGTTTTAATTTTTTTTTTTTTGGGGTTTTTCATTTGAATTATACTTAAAGTTCAGGGTAATCAACTGTTAAAAACATACTGTTCAAAATATTCTTCTCCAATAAATGGATGTTTTCAAAGTCAATGAATAATCGCATTTAAAAATCGCAATTACAATTATTGACCCAAATAATCGAGATTATGATTTTTGCATATTTGTGCCATCAGATCGTGAGCAGCCCAACTGTGGGTGTGTGCTGTGTGCAGGTGGTCTGTGTGACGCGATTAAAGGAGGGTCGTCATGCATCCGAGCTCTAGTTGCTCGTGTTTGGAAAATGCATGCCACTACAACATCTCCCGTGCTAGA